TAAATCGAGTCTATCTTCGACCAGGTACCACTAAAACTCCGTACGAAATTTGGAAAGGACCACTGGAAGAGGAACCAACAAAGGAATCGGAAAACAGCTCCAGTGTCGCACCAACAGTTCCAACAGTTGATGCAGCCTCTACCAATTCAGAAGAAAGTGACGTCAATTCTGAAACAGGAGACGAAGCTGAAGTCAGGCCTCTCGAATTGGATGATCAAACTCACAAGGAACCCTCAAGAAGAGTAAAAAAGAATCATCCAGTGGATCAAGTCATTGGCCCGGTAGAAGAAGGAATTCAAACCCGAGGCTTTAGCGATGCTGATTGGGCAGGTGATGCAGACGATCGAAAAAGCACAACTGGAGGATGTTTCTATCTTGGGAACAATCTCGTGTCCTGGTACAGCAAAAAACAGAATAGTATCTCGCTTTCCACTGCTGAATCGGAATATATTGCCGCTGGTAGTTGTTGTGCCCAACTCTTATGGATGAAACAAATGGTATGTGATTATGGTATTAGTCAAGATTTATTGCATATTTATTGTGACAATATGAGTGCGATTAATATTTGCAAGAATCCAGTACAGCACTCTCGAACTAAGCATATTGAAATTCGCTACCATTTCATTAGAAATCTTGTAGAGGAAGGAACTGTCTCATTAGAGTATGTCACAACGGAGAAACAACTTGCTGACATCTTTACTAAACCCCTAGATGCACAAAGGTTTGATTCCTTGCGAAATTCGCTTGGAATTTGTATTGTCTGACCTGTGCAGTTGCATAAACTGTTGCAACAGTCTGTGTCCAGACTTGCAACTTTTAAAGTTTTATGGACACATCACGCATACTGCATTTTGTTCATCTAGGTTATGCATTAGACATACTGCATGTGATGAAAACTCTTGTGTATTGGATACTATCTGTACTTTCGAACTTTGTGAGGTAAAACTTCATCAATCCCCGAATGATAGCTATAGAGACTTTAGTTTATTTACTACTCCTCACAATCTCGTTATGGTTTAACACTTTCATAAGGAAAAGCTGCCTCTCCAAATGAGTGAAAGCTAATCTTGAATTTTTGTTTAACTATATATATAATAAATTGGTCTGTGAATAATTCGAAGCCTTTTTGAGTTGAGTCAGTAAATCACGTGGCCGAAAGCTCCTACAAGGCTCAAATAGAAAGCCCAGGGGACTACACATTGCACGACCATTGTAAATCCGTTATATGGTCAGTGAATAGTTCGAAGCCTTTTTGAGTCGAGCCGGTAAACCTCATGACCGAACACTCACTACACGACTCAATTAGAAAGCCCAAGGGATTACACATTGCACGACCACACCTATCTCGCTAATTAAATTGCTCTGCTCTTCATGAAAAAGCTACCATTAGTAGGGTGTGTATGCTACCTAATAAGAGCGTTTTTGTGCTTGATTTGAGGGTAATAAATTTATTGTTAGTCTCGTTAGTTTGTATTTTGGAGCTTGCTTTTTGTTAAAATTGAAGATAAACCCCATGGGTTTGATAGTCCTAATAGTATCCTATTCACTCGTGTTTACTCACTCATATTCTCTTTCGTTCTCTCACGTTTTCTTTATTTGCCTCTGC